CGAACTCTGCATCATTTCTTGTTAGCTACAAATACAACTAAATGAAATAGATATTATTTCTACTATATTTTTTGGTAAACGTTAAACTCTAATTAAAAAATAGCATTAGAAACAGAAGATGAAAAAAATATAACAAAGAAATATTGGTTGTAAACAAAAAAATGTATAGAAACAAAAAAAAACCACACAGAGTGTGGATATTCAGATAGTTTTCAATTAAAAAATCAATCTTTTTATAAAAATGAATGTTAAATTTTTATTCAAAAAAAAAAAAACTGTTTTACATCGGGTGTAACGGTGTTTAGAAATCAACTGGAACATTAAGAAAAGACTAGTAATTTTAACATTGGACATATGGTAATTCCAAAACGGAAACAAAATGATACTGTGGAATTGGGATATTGGGTTAAATGTGTTGTTGATTTGGGGTTTTGGATACAAATTGTCAAAAATACAAAACGTTAAAGAAAATCAGTCAATAAAGAGTTGACTTTGATTTAGTAAAGAGAGATACCTATTTTATTTACTTGGCGGTGGGAGAGATGTGATTCTCTTGGTTCTTCGTTCTTGATTGATTCGGTAACCTAAACTTTCTCAAGCCAAAAAGAGACGAACAAGGAAGAAAACTATATAATTCGAACAACTTATAATTTATATATTACAACGGCAAATTTATTTATTCTTCTCTCTTTTTTAAACCGAAAAAGTCATCAAAATAACACTAAGATAATACATGTGGAAATTTCTTCTATATTTGACATGCTTTCTAGAATTCTATGACATTTTAGATGTAAATAGTGGCATACTTTTTAAATACAAAGAATATGCCTAATAGTAGTTCTTGGCTTTTAGTTTTTAGATTTTCCTCATAAACCATCCTACTTTTTATATAAACCATTCTTATGTTTGGATATTAATAGATTTTCTACAATTCTAACAATTATAGTTGTTAACCAAGCAGTGATAAAACATCTAGGGCAATGGTGAAAATTCATCTTTTTGGGGGTTTTGGTTTTCATTCATAATTTTTTTAGAGTCTTGTTGATTAGTCGAAATGGTATCGCCTTTTAAATTCATTAATTTTTTTTTTTAGTAAGAATGTTCATCGAAACTACAATCACTCAAACTAGTTAATCGGGTCTCGATATCCGAAGCAGACCTTGATTACAAAAAATAATATACTCCAGTTGTTTTGAGTATTTGAGTTTCGTGGTATATGATTCTAGGCTGATCAATTATCGCACTTCGTCAAGTGCTCAAATTATCTAAGAACCGTTATTTGGCATCAATTTATATATTTCAATTGAAAAGAATTCTAATAAAATTCGGGTGTTACGTTTTCTTAACCAAACACAATCTATTCTTTTAAATGTGTAATTTTGTATTGTGGTTGAAGTTTTCGTACAGAAATCATCTTATTATTGCTTCTTTTGTTTAACTTAACATGAAATATGGAAACACCGTAAAGAGTAAGAAAAATGACAAAGGGAAAAGAAGCTAAGAAGTCATCCAAATATTGGAGGCCTACTCTCAACTACCAAGAACACATTAGTGTTTGTTGTGTTAGGTCATTTATTCAGTCACCTAACCCTAATAAAATGAAATACGTTAAAATTCATAAATAGAAAAATGAGATACAAACTATTAGTCAATATTATTCTTTTTTTTTATGAATAATAAAAAAAGAACCAATCTTTCAATCAAGACCGTCCAAGTATTCTCTTTCACATAATTCTCACAATTTCCCTAAAGAAGACAAGATTTTTATGAGCCTGTGGATCCCACCACAATCCTCATTGATTTCTCCATATATATCTCATGAGAATCAAACTCGACTTCATAACAATATTCACCATTTTACTAAAACCCAAAAAAAGTTCCATTTTTTCACAAAACCCATTTCTTCTGTTTTCTCCATTTGGATCAAAAATGGTTTGTGTTATTGTTCTTTAATCATTTTTTTTTGTTTTGAGAACAAATCTTTAATCATGTTCTCTTATTTTGTTTCACCAAATCTTTAAACATTAACTCTTCTTTTTGTTCTTCTTCATTAGGGTGCTGAGAATAACAACAAGGAAGTAACACTCTCTGCATCAATGGACAACAACAACAGCATCAAAGGATCAAACTTTCATCTTGAGGTTGTTCAAAAGGAACCAGCTTTGGTCAAACCTGAATCCGAGACACAAAAGGGTCTTCACTTCTTATCAAATCTTGATCAGAACATCGCCGTGATTGTCCGTACAATATATTGTTTCAAATCTGAGGAGAAAGGAAACGAGGAAGCAGTTCAAGTGATCAAGAAAGCTCTGAGTCAAGTTCTTGTTCATTACTATCCTCTTGCTGGACGCCTCACCATTAGTCCTGAAGGTATAATTGATTGCTTCGTTACCGGTCTCTATCTTGTTTAAACTCAGACAATAACATCAATTTAATGCTCTTTAATGGTGTGTGAATTCAGGTAAACTGACAGTGAATTGTACTGAGGAAGGAGTTGTATTTGTGGAAGCAGAAGCAAACTGTAAAATGGATGAGATTGGTGACATCACTAAACCGGACCCCGAAACTCTAGGGAAACTTGTCTACGATGTTGTAGACGCCAAGAACATTCTTGAGATCCCTCCTGTTACTGCTCAGGTTTACTTTTCTTCCACCTCAAGCAATCTTTATTTTTGTTTTTCTAGGGTTTTAAGTTGAAGATCTGATTTGTTAGGGTTTTATGTATATAGGTGACTAAATTCAAATGTGGAGGGTTTGTTCTTGGACTCTGTATGAATCATTGTATGTTTGATGGTATTGGAGCTATGGAGTTTGTTAACTCATGGGGTCAAGTCGCTAGAGGCTTACCATTAACAACTCCTCCATTCTCAGACAGAACCATTCTCGGTGCTCGAAACCCTCCAAAGATTGAGAATCTTCACCAAGAATTTGAAGAGATCGAAGACAAATCCAACATCAACTCTCTTTACACCAAAGAGCCAACTCTCTATAGATCCTTCTGCTTTGACCCGGAAAAAATCAAGAAACTTAAGCTGCAAGCAACAGAGAACAGTGAATCTCTCCTCGGTAACTCATGTACAACGTTCGAGGCAATATCTGCTTTTGTCTGGAGAGCAAGAACCAAGTCATTGAAGATGTTGAGCGATCAGAAAACGAAGCTTCTCTTCGCGGTTGACGGTAGAGCCAAGTTTGATCCTCCATTGCCAAAAGGATACTTTGGAAATGGATTTGTTCTCACAAACTCGATATGTGAAGCTGGAGAACTTATCGAAAAACCGTTGAGTTTCGCTGTTGGATTAGTCAAAGAAGCGATTAAGATGGTCACTGATGGATACATGAGATCTGCGATTGATTACTTCGAAGTAACTAGAGCAAGACCTTCTCTTTCTTCGACTCTTCTGATCACTACATGGTCAAGATTGGGTTTCCACACGACAGATTTCGGTTGGGGTGAACCGGTTTTGTCCGGTCCAGTAGCTTTGCCTGAGAAAGAAGTAACTCTGTTCTTGTCTCATGGAGAACAGAGAAGAAGCATCAATGTGCTTCTTGGACTTCCTGCTTCAGCCATGGATGTGTTTCAAGAACAGTTTCTACAGATTTAAAAGAAAAAAAAAACAAATATATGGCAATTATTGTCAAAAAACTATTCGTTTTACTCTGTTTTTCTTGCTTTCCTCTTTTTCTTTTTTTTTTTAAAAATTTGATTTCTGCTGAATTATTATCTTCATCTTAAACTTGTCTGTATCTTGCATCAAGTTTCAACCATAAATTTATATTATTTCAACTATATTGTAATAATTCTATAATATTACTTGATTTGTTTCTGAAATGTTGAAGTCTAA